GTGACTACTTTTTTGTTCCCTGATTTAAAAAATCCAACAGGGAGGAATTCTTTGTGCTTTTTTTTTTCTTTTAATCTTCATTGATTTGGTGCTGCAGCAAGAAACTCAGTGTTCTAGTAAGGAGCTTTCAAAGTCAGATACTCAAACCAGCTTTTGGACTGAAGTAATAGACTATTGGAGGTAGCCGTAGGTGAAAACGTGATTTGTTTTTTGTTTGAGATTGCTGTTTATTCTTTGTATAAGTACTGCCACCAAGAAAGGGCAAGATAAGAGATGCATTTGCAGAGTTACACATTTCTCACATGAAATTAAACTTGTTAAATGTGGCATCTGAGGACTGCCTACTTACAAACTCCATCTCTTCCTCACAGGCAGCTTCACACAATAAGATATAATAGAGAACTCAAAAGCCCTGAGTGAAAACTATTATGTGAAAAGTGGAAAAAATAGTAAAAACATCCAAGCTTCTGCAAATATTTTTAAAAGGAAGTTCTCTGACTCATCTGCACTGTGATCTTTCCTTTGTTGATCTTCTTAGTCTTGGCTTGAATGCATATAATTAGGCCTCCACATAACGCTGATGAACCATGTCATGTTTATAAACAGCAGAGAGCAATTTTCAAATGTTCCCATTGTGAGAAAAGGACAAACATTTTCTGACAGAAGCTCCCGCAAGCTTTGTTCTCCTCAGACTTTTAACTATCATGAATAGTTTACTATCTGAATGTGTTTTTCAGTCAATATCATTCACTAATTTTTCTAAAGGATTAGTCATTCAAAAATTCAAGAGTATTACCAGAAAAGATGAAATGTGCTAATTCACTAACATGCTCATAACAAATAAAAATCAACAGTCATCAAAAAAGTACACTGTGACTTTAGCTTTATGAAGTGACACTCCAGTCTGGTGCTTAAAAAAAAAGAACTTATCCAAAGCACAACAATTGATTTCTATTTACCTGGAGCAACAGAGAAAGGAGAGTCAGGAAGCAGAGGAAGATATGGAATGTGTGGCTAATTGCCTCCATGAGCAGCTGTATCCTTTGCTAGGAGACCAGAAGAACTAGATGGTGACCAGTTATGATTACAGAACATTTTGACCCCATTTATTGTAGAGGAATCCTGATCAAAAGGAGGAAGATACAGAATAGAATTTCAAAATCTTTCCAGAGCTATGGAAGCTTGATAAACTCCCAGAATTATTGCTCTGAGATCATCTTTAAACCTTAAACCAAAAATATCCCCTGAAGTCTTCTTAAAACCAGACAGTAGTTTAGTGAAAAATGTCAAACTTGAGCACTATGCCCTTTTAAGATCCTATCTGTATGGGATCAAATTGACAATAGCAACTCAAAATATTAGATAGGCTCTTTTAGGGGCAGGGAGTTTATGTTAATAGGGGAGGAACAACTCAAAGAATATAATCAATGTCACTGAATTGTACATGTAGAAACTATTGAATTAGAGTATGTTTTGCTGTGTATATTCTCAAAAACAACAAAATAAATTATAAAAATAAAACTTTAAAAAAAAGACCACCACCAAACCTCACTACATAAAGAGCACTAATTGACAATATTATCTATAGCTCAAGTAAAAGACAAAAAAATAATAATGGCCTGAGTCCTTAATTTCATCGGGGTCCTTTTTTCCCCCATGAAATGTGCCTTTCAAAAGTTGAAATAGAAATAGGATTTCATGTGGTCATGAAAGTCAGATTTAATGTCTCCTTCTTAAACTGCAAAGAAACAAGCATACTGTGAATTCTTATTGTTGCTCTTCGTAGGAAACCTTAGAGGTCATCTTTTCTAAACTTCCAGTCGAAGTGTCATATCCTTGAACGTATCTAATAAGAACAGAGACTGAGCAGATTTTAAGGACTCTCGATTTAAACATTGCCTATATTGAGCTCACAGCTGCTTCTTTATAACTTCTTTCCAGTGGCACCCATTCTCACTTCTGAAGCAACTTATCCCTTAGTGTCTTCCTTCTCATATATGACTACAAATGAAATATTTAATGTTACTGATTCCAGTGACTGTTCGTAATCACATTTGTCTTTCCAGTTTGCTAGGAACAAGGGTAGAGATAACTCAATTCATCTGAATAAGAAAATAAAATACAAAAGCTCTGATTGGTTAGCAAGTATGTTAAAGTATATTTCACTTAATAATATATACAAATTTGAAACCAACAAAATACACATGTATAGAATTGGAATGAACTTTACAGAAGAAATAGGTTTCCACTCATTGCTAGAATTTCTCTAAGATATAATTTATGGACATATTCCAGGCTTTGGATTGGAATTTATGCATCTCAGGGTGATCTATTCCAGATTTGGAAGAACTCTGATCGCCAGAGAATTCTTCTTTCCATTATGCCAGAAACTATCCTTTTTATAATTTTCCCATCAAAGATCCACTTTCTGCTTTTTAGCACAGACCAGAGCAGTCTTGTGCCCTCTTCTGCAGAACAATTTTTAATTTTTAATAGTAGTTATTGTGGAGTAGTATTAATGGAGATTTTAGTACAATTTTGATCATCCAAAGAGAAAGAAGGAGTGTATGGCAATTTCGACAATTGGTGTAGAATCATACTACTTGGAGGTCACTTAATCCAAACCTCTCAGTTTTGAGGAAGACTGAAACATAGAGGAGCTTGACTAATTGGTTAATGTAACAGAGCTGACAACTGGTTGAACTTTTCCTGGCACTGACCACCTGACACAGACCAGTTCTGATCACTAGTACCTCCACTGGAAGTTAATCTGAAATGTATCTATTCAATCAACCATTTCATGTGAGCATCTCTGAATTTTATGGAGTTGATAATATTTCAAACAAAACAAAAAGCTGCATTGTGAAATCTCCTCAATAATAAAATAATACATATTTCCCATGAGCTCTGCATTAAAGAGATTCAGATCCTGTCATGGTATCTTCATGTTGCATCTTAGAGCCTCTGCTATCTTTTGAGGGTGTGGGTGCCTGCTGGATTTTTCTTTTTTAATTTTAATTTTTACTAATTTACTGATAACATATCTAAGGAACTCTAGTGGCATAGTGGTTAAGGCATTTGGCTATAAAGGTCAGTGGTTCAAACCCACCAGCCACTCCATGGAAGAAAGATGAGGCAGTCTGCTTCCATAAAGATTTATCAGCCTTGGAAACCCAATGGGGTCCTTATGAGTTGGAAACCTCTCAATGATACTGAATTTTTTTTTTTTTTTGGTATCATAAATTGCATTAAGTGATTCTTAAATCTTGAAACAGTCTTGCATTCCTGGGAAAAACACCTCATGGTCATGGTTTATTACCATTTTTATTATTATGATAGTCTATTGAGGATTTCTGTGCATATTCATGAGGATTATTGATATGTAGCTTTCTTGACTGGTAATACTTTTGTCTGACTTTATTTCAGAGTAATAAACCAAACTAAACCAAAGCCATTGCCATTAAGTCAATTCTGATTCAGAGCAACCCTATAGGACAGAGTAGATTGCCCACAGGTATTCCTAATCTGTAATCTTTGTGGAAGCAGATGGCCTCCTCTTTTTCCCCTAGAATGTCTGGCTGGTGGTCAAACCACTGACATTTCAGTTAGCAACCTAGGACTTAACCAATGTGCCACCAGGGCTCCATTTCAGAATAATACTAAAAAAGGAAAACCAAGTACTGATGCTGCTTTTTAAATTTTTCTCTTGCTGTTTTTTAAGAATTTGATTCGGACTTGTATTACTTTGTCTTTTAATGTTTGTTAGAATTCACCAGTGAATCCACATGGGTCTGATTTTTTTTTTTTTTTTTGCTGTAAAGTTTTTAAGTATTAATTAATTGTATTTAATAAGTATAGGAGTATTTATGTTACTCTATTTCATCTTAAGTGAGTTTGACAGTTTATGTCTTTCAAGAAAACCTCCATTTCATTTAAGTTGTGAAATCAAGGAGAATCAAATTGTTCCTTATATTCACTTCTTACCTTTACAATGTCTGTAAAATCTGTATTGATGTTCAGCCTTTCATTTTTAGTATTGATCATTTATATCTTCTGCCCATTTTCTTGATTAGTCTGGTTAGATGTTGATCACTTTTATTGATCTATACTAATGATCTGTAGTAATATCTTATAAGTACTCCATAGAATTGAAGGAGCTCTGATGACTCAGTGCTTAAGGCATTTGGCTGCTAACCAAAAAGGTAAGTGGTTGGAAATTACCAGGTGCTCTACAAAAAGAATATGAGCTAATCTACTTCTGTAAGATTTATAGCCTTGGAAACCCTATGGGACAGTTCTAGTCTGTCACATCGGATCACTATGAGTAAGAATCAACTTGATGGCCATGGTCCTGTCCTCAGAGGATTTGAGAATAAATGAATAAGTAAAATAAAACTTTCCTATTAATAATGTGACCATAATCAAGGAAAAGGTTCTATATTTCCTCTGGATATTGCTTTGCAACTATAGCTTGATTTAAAGCATTTTAATAAATTATGGTGAACATTACAAATATCTTTTCTCCAGAATTGCGGTCAGACCTCTGAAAGTTCTAAGAAGTAAAATAGGGTTAGTTTTGTCTGAGCCAGTTATATTCACTAGATACACTGCTTTTCTTGAATCTTTGAGCTTTAAGAGTTGGGAGATAAAAAGTCTCCAGATACATGTTTATAAGAAAATGACATATTTTCTGTGAGATAAATAAATAATTTTAAAGGAATTAGTTTGATTCAAATCTTGCACATTCTTATGAAAATTTCAAACACAGAAAACAAAATGAGATTGTTCTTACCACATCGTGTCCACTTAGCTGAAATCCTTCTGAAAGTTTTAAAAACTGGCTGGGCCTCAATATTACTTGTAAAAATGTATGTTGCAACTATAATAACCATATGATCTCTTTCAGCTTTAAGATTCTATCATTATTGAATTGTATATGTCTCTTTTTAAAGCAATTTTATTGAAAATCGTATTTACAATGAATCTTTCTATAATTGCAGGTTTTATATGGGGAGAAATTAAGCAAATGTGGGATGGTGGACTCCAAGATTACATCCATGATTGGTGGAATCTAATGGATTTTGTGATGAACTCCTTATATTTAGCAACAATCTCCTTGAAAATTGTTGCATTTGTAAAGGTAACTATTATTTACATTGTTGGTGATGCATACATTCTGCTAATTATTTTAATAGCTTTGATTGCTACTAATTTTTAATAGTTACCTAAAACTTTACCTATCTGCACATGATCATGACTTTATTGATAAGTGGCTATTTATAAAATACATAGAGAATGTGTAATTTACAGTCATTGCAATTTTAAATAAACATTTAAAAGAATTTGTCATCCAGTTTTCTTGCATCTAAATTGAATAGATGCAAAATTACTCACAATAACTGCACTAGGTGTAATTCTTTCAATTTATAATGAAATTGTGCCTTTAACACTACTTCAATTTTGACAACCAGAATATTTATTTTTCTGTTATAACTAACAGATAAAATTTAATACATCAAAATATTACTCTTTTAAAGCATTGAAATTATTATTTCAATTTAAACTAATACAGTTTGATATAATTAGAACAGAATATGATTTATTTCTCCTCATCCCATTCAACATGACAGTGTCTGAAATTTCACACACCTATTACTCCCCCAGATTTTGTACCTCAATTTATCCTAAACCACATAATTTGCATAAAACATTTTTGTTCTATAGTGACACTCAGAATTATTTTTCATTCAAAAGGTTTTTCTTGATCCAATATCTTATCTTTCTCCCTTCCTGCAATCCTGTCCCCTTTCCTTCACTCCTCTTTTTTTAATATTTTGTTTTAAAATAAGTGAGTTAGTAAAAACAGAGTGCCTAATTATGTTTTATGTGAGTAATGCATGAATTTAGTAATCTGAACTACAATACTAACATGTAACTAGACTCTTATTCATTTAATCTAGTTCTTAAAATAATGGCCAGAGTCTCTTTTGCAATATTCAGGTATGACAGAGTCAAGAGTTGTCCAAAATAGGAAAGGTCATATTTTAGAACTCATTCAGTAAAAATGTTGCAAGACTCATCAAAACACTGGGATAAAAGCAATTTCAACCAGTTTCATGGAAAGAATGGAAACATAATTTGGTTATTTTTCCTATATGTTTTGAGGTTAATCTCTTTAAGTGCCTTATTAAGAAAGCAGAAGATATTGTTTCACCCAAAGGAGATTATGTATTTATACATAAGTTGGATGATCTAAGTATGAAGTTGCCCAATTCTTCTTTCCTTTATAACAATCCTTAGATATACCTTTAAACTTGTTTGGACCTACCTCTAGTAAAAACTTATATATATTTCTAAGTCCCTGTGCATCTGCATCTATAAAATGCCTATAGCATTTTTTTATGACACTTTAAGCTGTTTAAGAATCATTTGGTTGGCTTAGTAGCACACAAATTTCCTTTTTTCAAATCCATGTTGTTGTTGTTATATGCCCTTGAGTCAGACCAGACATAGCGACCCCGCCTTGGGTTTCTGAGGTGGTATCTCTACAGAAGTAGATTGCTCAACCTTCTTTCTGAGTAGTGGCTGGTGGGTTTGAACTGCCAGCCTTCTGGTTAGCAGTCAAGTGTCTTATGTACTATGCTTCCAGAGCTCAGAGATCCCAAATCAGGAATCCTAATGTGATGCTCAAATTTTCATTTCTAATAAACTTCCAGGTGATGCTGATGAACTGGCCCAAGGAGACAATTTGAATATCATTGGGAATTTGGAATTGACCCCAAAAGGAACTCCTCTTATATATTTCTCATATATAATATTTATATTAAAATGTATTATATTTGTATATTTTACATTTACATGGTGTTTATATATACTGAGTCAGATCTGACTGAAAGCAACCTTTCCTTGGGTTTCCAAGACAGTATCTCTACAGATCTCTACAGATTGGAAGGAAGGTTGGGCAATCTACTTTCCTAGTGATATTGCCTCAGAAACCCAAGGAGGGGTCACTATGAGTCTGATGTGACTCAACGGCAGTGTGTTGCATTGTTGCCTTGTATCTCTACAGAAGTAGATTGCCCAATCTTCCTTCTGGGGAGTGGCTAGTGGGTTTGAAAGGTCAGCCTTCTGCTTAGCAGTCAAATGACTTAGGCACTAAGCCACCAGAGCTCCTATATAATATTTATATTAAAATAAATAATATTTGTATATATTAAATTTGTATGATATTTATATATACTGAAAGCAGCTCTAGTGATACAGTGATTAAGGCATTCAGCTGCTAACCAAAAGGTCATTTGATCAACCTGAGTAACACCATGGGAAAAGGATGAGGCAATCTGCTTCCTTAAAGATTCTCAACCTTGGAGACCTTTTGGCAGATCTGCTAACACACATACACACACACACACACACACACGCACACACACATATATACATATACACCAAAATCCAGTTCAACCCATTGCCATTGAGTCAATTCCAACTCAGAGCAATCTCTCCATTGGGTTTCCAGTCTTTACAGAAGTAGATTGCCTCATCCTCTTTCCCTGGAATGACTGGTTGAGTTTAAACTGCCAAACTTCTGGTTACAGTTAAATGCCTTAGGCATTGTGCCACCATATATACATACATATACATATGAATGCATACGTGTATAAGTGTTTATATATTTTCAAGTGTAAAATTCTGGTGTATAGTGTGTAATGCATGAAGTACGAATCTATGAACTCAGGCATGCCCAAAGCAACAGTGCAGGAGAGCAGAAAAAAGGAGATTAAAAGCCAGGAACTCAGACAGAGGAGCAGTCAGCTGCAGGGATCCAGGTGAGGAGAGGAACTCAGGCACGCCCAAAGCAGCAGGCCGGGAGAGCGAGAGAAAGGGGATTAAAAGGCCTAGGAATCTGGACAGAGGAGGAGTCAGCCACAGGGACCCAGGTAATGGTAGTATGAGAGGTTTCCAACAGGGAGGCAAACTTGTCTGTCGGTTTGTCCTACCGTGGTGACATGTTGATGTGAGTTTTGAGGCTAAGCCACTGGTGTTTCTAACCCAGCAGGATGTACGTGGTACACAGGTATCAGCCTAGCTTACAGACTGAGACAGACTTTGCAAGAATTGGCCAGGGAAAATTTTATGAATAGCAAAGAAACACTGTTTGATACATTACCACACAATTTTATGAATAGTCTGGTTAGGTTAGAAGGCTCTCAAAAAAGGCTGGGAAGGAGCTGCATCATTTGAGTAAACCCAGCCGTAGTCCTATGGTAAAGTAAAGCTTTTGAGACCTCCATTTGCTGATGTG